GTGCGCGTGCGCGTGTGCGTGTGCGTGTGCGTGTGCGTGTGCGTGTGTGTGTGTGTGGCTATTAGATGCTAATGATGACACTTACTGAGTACAGTGAGGTTCAGTCTCGTATTTTTAGTCGGTGACTTGATGAAGTCCACTCTGCATCTATATTGCCCGCTGTCTTCAGGCCTGTAAAGAAAATAGTACATTGTGTAATAAAGGCAGTATATATGAAATTACTAATGGTAGTCTATAAGAATCGCGTCTATTTTTCGAGCATTAAAAATAATTAACAAGTACAATGCAATTACATTTAAAACAGTCCATTACCGTCATGTTGTGGTAATATCACATTACATGTTATGAAAAATATACTATGAAAGAAGCGAAATATCAATTTTCTTTGAAAAAATGTGAAGTCTTTTCACCCAAGTCATCTATTTCATTATTGTAAATGCAGTCGATTTGAGTCCAGGGAAGTACTATCGTCACACCTATTTCAGCCAAGCAGTAATGTAAACATTAAGTGCGATTCGATTATGAAGGTGCTGGTGAAAGTACAGGAACATAGGACTGGTCTTATTGTCTCTGGGTGATGGGTGCAATGGCAGTGTTCCTCAAATCTGCGATTCTAAGCTCTGGGTGACATTGTCATAAGTGGATATACAGCTAGTACATTGACTTACAAATAAATGGACGACGGGTCTAATACAAAAACCACGGAAAAAATGTCCCAAGTCAACCTATTTAAACGTAGTGACATGTAAAGGAATCTCAATAAGCTAAAACGTTGAGTTTAATTTGTAATGTCATCGGAGTAATGTCTAATTTTGCTTGCTTCGCTGGCAGTCGAACAAACGAAGACTAAAGCGTGAATGACGCTCTGTATACGATTTTAACGCCCTATAAGTTCGGACACTTTTTAGTGCGGACCCGACGTCCATATAATTGTAAGTCAATGAGCTAGTAATACGAGGCTAGTATCATAAAAAAATAAGCCAAATTGTATCTGGGACTTTTTTATTTTCATATCTCTCGTAATATACATAGATATTTCGATATGGTACTATTCAATATTAGCAAATAAAAAGCCACCGTTCTGTTCAAAAACTCGTTTAAACTTTCCGAGATTAATTCGGCGCGATGATAATTTGTTTTTTCGGAATTGGTCCCGGATATAATTTTGATGAAAATTTTTCCCAATATTTGTTCGAAAACAGCTTTGTGCCAAATCAAATTTTGTTCATAAGAATAGTTGATAATTGAAAAATCTGTAGACTAGTAATACGCCTATATGCTTTGCCGCCATTTCTAAGTCTATATTTATCTAGTTTAGGAGGATAAGATTTATTTCTTGACTAAAAACTATCAAGCAAAATTTCAATAAAAGCATAGGTTGAGTAAAGTGGGTAACGTGGATTGTCTTGAGACTAATTGCATGACCAATCAAGGCACTGCCAGTTGAAGTTGACACTCGCACGGTATCTTGACGTTGTGACGAGCGGATGTCACAATTGACGTCTCGAAAAATACAGATATAACCTACTTTCAGGCTATTGATCAGAGCCGTCTAGATTAGGCTGCCTTTCCACCAGAGATATGCGAGGTAACGAGGCGGTGAGAGGGTGTGCAGTGAGGATGCGTTACGGACTCTTTTCAGCTATGCGCGGGCGGGGTACGATGTGGTGGGGTGAACGATGGCGATGTGTCAGTATTAGTTAGTGTGAACTTTCAGTAGCTCTAGTTTCCTACACGCATCTCTCGCACACATCTCTCGCTATTGTGTATGTACAAATACTTAACTCCACTAACCAATTTCCAGAGCTGCGCTAAGTGAGGCTAGGGAAATGAAGTAATCTTATTGGTGGATTTTTTCCTCGCACACCGCCTCGCTACGTCACACATCTATGATGGAAAGGCAGCCTTATAAGACAGATTTTTCCTTTTTCAGAGTTTCGATCCATAGTATGGAGATTAGCAGTCGTCTTGACTTATTGGCACATGGTGTAGCTATGTATTTAGCAACACAAACTAAGTTGTGTAAAGGTGAACAACATTTCAAAATTAATTATACTGGAAAACTCAACTTGCGCTCATACAACCTATACACGCCACGTACACATGCCACTAATATATATCTTTTTTTTAATTTCAAATTGTTTAGTATTGTATATAAGTTTTTCTTTTAATTGCTATACCTCCTCCTACTATTGTATGTCCCGTTCCAGACCTCAGGGAAAGGGGGAATGGCTGAAAACCAGTGTAGAGCAAGGCTTACGGAGCTGAGCCAATAAAAAGCTGTGCCATTGCTATTTGCCTCAGACCTCTATATAAGATTTTTGTACATAATACTTTTTGTATCGTTAATGAGGCAATAAACCTTTTTATAACTATTATTATAAAGGTTTGAAATAAATGACTTTATCTACACACATATCATAAACTCTCTATAATGTGTTCAAAAACCGCAAATTACGACCAGCATAATATGAAAATGTTATTATTGCTTCATAACAACATCGAAATCGATGTTATTATTACATTCAAGTTTCGAACATCTCCGAAAAACAAAACAATTTGATTGGACCTCAATTCTAATATCAGTCGAGACGAAGTTTTATTCGAAATGAAATGTCAAAATAGCAAACAATTTTGACTATTTCACACGTTACTTGACATCGAATGGTATGATAGTTGGGGCCGATTCTAGTTTGTCTATGAATTAAAAATAAAAACTACGGTTGTGTGACATGCGTGACAAAAGTTTTTATTTGCCGCCATTTCGCCAGTCGTAACATGCGGTTCCTGAACACATCGCAGAGAGCTTATAATATGTGTGCAGATAAAGCAGTGTATGTAACTGTACATAATTAGGCATTAAAACACTCGTGAGATGTTTTTACGAAACTCGCCTGTCGGTTCGTTCCTTAAACCCTCCCTCGTATTGTAATGCCTTTCATTATGTAACAGTCACATAAACTACTATTAAGATTCTATACAACCTCAGATAGCTTTGGTTGATTTCGTACAACAGTGAAAGTGTTGAATCAATTCAACAAAATACGGTGTGAAATCCCGATTCCTGAAAATGTTCATGATAGAAAAAAAAACCCAGCTTACCTCGAAATTTTACAAGAAAACCGCTGTATTCAATAGGTACTTTACATATTACCAATGATTTTTCGTATATCAACTGAACTAAACAGAATGCATATACTATACGATATACATTTTTCAAATAGCTTTAACTTCGTTTGTAAAGAAATTAATTCTGAAATAAAGTCAGTGTCCCTGTCTCTCGACCCAAGGAAAATGAGCCGTATTAATATGGGGGAAAATTTAATATCGAGCTAAGGTAGTATTGATTCTAAAGTTCAATGTTTAACAATGAATTTGGACTGTCTGTAGCTGTGGTCATCTGTAGAAAAGCATCCTGTATATTTATATCCTCAGATACAAACTATGGAAAAGAAAAAGGGTTGCGTATTACTTGCTCATCGCTCATAAGTTATAGTTTCATGCAACTTTTAAGGTATTAAACAACAATTTATCAGCCGCAGGTGGTTTTTGACATGTGTAAGATGTAAATAAAAAATATTCTACATCTCTGGCTCTCTTGGTATCTCTAAGTCTTTCTCTCTCTTTCTCTATCTATTAACTGCTTCCGTGGCCGAACGGTTACCATGCTGGACTGCCACGTAGAGGTCCCGGGTTCGATTCCCGGGTCGTGAGAAGTATTTATGGCCTACATTTATTTCTTTCGTGACTTTAAGTGTAATTTGTGGTTGTCTATGTGTGCGCCCATGGCACTCACGATACAGGGTTTCCCTATTACGGGGCTATGAGTGTGTGCATTGTTTTATTTGTTTATTCATTTATTTATCTATCACTGCGTCAGTTTTTCTTTGTTTGTGTATTTCGATGTTTTAATAGACAAATCCACCCAAATTTATATGCATACAATTTTTTTGAAAATCTTGCACCTAACGGCAGCAGTATTTATCCCGCTACGTAGTAAAATTTCGTACTATTCATTTTAAAAATAATAATAAAAAATGTATCTTTGTTATAATTATTAATACGCATATCGAACTAAGCCACGAAATGAACCAGCGAATCTCACGAATTTTAAACAATGTGCTCAGTGTCGGATCTTTGTAGTTGATTTTCAACGAATTTTTAGTCTTAGCGCCATCTATGAGAAATCTATGAAAGTATTTCGTCACCCAGTTAGGTACCTTTATATATTTATAACAAACTAGTGGAGTAATTTCACAAAAAAATAATTGAATACCAATCAATACAAATTTAAATTGTATCTTTGTTAGCAAACATCGAGTATATAACAAGAACCAGAAACGAATAGGGGCCATTCATCTCCGGTAACTCATCGTGCAAATGGACCTTATATAACTTTTAAAGTATCAACTTTCGTAGAAGTCTGAAATAGTACAGCGCCAACAACTGACCTGTGTGTATGTCTTCGTATATTCCAAAAATAACCTGTATTTATTGTAATAAAGATAATTTCAATTCGGATTAAGTTCCATTCGGTGGTGTGGGAAAAACAGCATAACATCTAATTTTTTTTTTAACAAACGGAATCACATTCAATCGGTAATTAAATATTAAATACATAATTTTGCAATTTTCATTGCAAAGTTAAACTGGTCGATTTGAAGTGAAACAATTGACGATACCCGTCAATGTTTCGAATTCAGGCCGGCCAATCATAGCGCAGTAAAGTTGTCACCGTAATGATTTGGCAGAATAATTTTCAAACAAATTAAATGACATTTGGTCTCTATTTCTACACTCGATGTTGTTAAGAAATATGCTAACATGCAATTGTTGCAGATAAGTACGATCACTTTACAAGTGGCTCCATTTTGAATTAGCTTTCCCTGTGCCTCCCCATTTATATTAATTAATCCCGATTAATTACGAGTACTTCTAAATTGTTATTTACTTATCGATAAATTTAAAATAAATGAATATTCATTAATTGTAACTTAAACAAGTTAAATTTAACTGTAAACTTCGTTATAATTTATCGTCTTACGTACATTAAAGCTAATAACTTTTACTTTGGGGATCCCTTTCAACACCCGAAAAATCTAATCAGCCGTCCCATTGCCGTTACCTACTCAACTCGAGTGTATAACACAGTTGTTTGTTAGGGTGTCAAC